AAAATTAATGTTAAAAAATAGGCAAAAATTTAGGGGAGGATCAAAAGTGCACCAATATTGCAAACATGAGGAACTATTAGTGCTCTATGTGAAAACTCAAGGATGACTTTGAGCATTAACCCAAAGATGAGGGACTATTTTGAGCCTTTCCTCGCACAATGACTGAACTTAAACTATATATAACTTAACTTCAATTATGTATGACTGAAATTTAAGCAAAAATAATCGAAATTCTGCAACAAATAACCAAAGATAAAGAAAAAATGACTGAAGTGAGTGGTGGAGTGGTAAGTACTCTGATTCAAATTTTTTGAGTACAAAATCACCTTTGTTAGGGAACATTTTTACCAACTCTGGAAAAGCTAATGAAATTCAACCACATATGACTACAATTTAACCCTTTTTCCTAATATAAATTAGGGTTCAATTAATTGGCTACAATTTACCAAATATATATATTTATAAACAAATCAAATTGGGATGGAACTTGCTAATCATTGTAAACTAAGCCATTTTCTGTCAATATTTTATCTGATTGGTACTTCCATGCCATTATCTCAACAACAACAAAAAAAAACTTAAGAGAAAAATTGGGGAAAAACTTTCACTTCACACTGACCTGTGGAGAAGTGAGAAGCTCAAGAAACACTAATCTGAACAAGTAAGAACTCTTTAGCTACTGAATTTATGTGCTTTAAACTCTCAATCTTTTTCTTCTTCTTTTCAGCTATGCATAAAACTATTTGTTGTGCATTTGCTTCTTGATATGGAACAACAATAACAACATAGTGTATGCAGACCTTACCCTGCCTCGTAGAGGTAGAGAGGTTGTTTCCGGTAGACTCCTGGCTTAAATAAAGCAATTTGAACAAGGAATACATGGCTGTTGTGGTTTATAAATGGATTAGTCTTTAAGTGGAAAACTACTACATTGGATTTCTAAATCTCCAAGTATAGAGATAAGAATGATGAAGTAGGAGTCTTTTCTCCGAATGGTTACTCTGGGAACAAAGTTAAAGTTAATATAGTCCAAGGATGACAAGCTGGTGTATTGTTTTCATCGAAACTATAGGCGAGTAATTGGTGAGTGTAACTGGAAATGGATGAGAGCAATAACCTTGGATTTGTTTATTTAGTTAGTAATAGTAAATTACTGGATTTCCTCATATGTTGGGGCTTAAGAGCAGGGATTCTAACTGCTATCCACTTTATTGTTGTACCCTCATTAAGATTGAATATTAGCACTTCAAATAGGGATTTTGCACCTCTTTGGGACTGAAGCAACTTATTGAGGAATGGTCGATAATCAAGTATGCGAATTGATTATTGTTTTCTATGGTTGCTGATGCGCACAAAAAGTTGCTTAATGTTATATAATAAGTGTAGTTAAGTTATGTCAGTAGGCTCATGTGGGCAGGATTTGCGAGTAATACTAGGATTATTTCCAGTTAGCAAATGCTAGGTATAAGTGCTGTATGCGGCTGAGTGTTGCATCAGGATATGTCCTTGGGCCATCTCTAGTGCAACATGAAAGCGATTGGCTTAATCAAATTCAGATACTAACAAACAGATCCAATGCTATTTCCTTGTCTACGATGTGGGATCCAGTCATTTTGCAAATTGATTAAAAAGATTCTTAAGATACTTGTTTTAATGTCTAGGAGCTGTAAGATAGGTTCTTAAAGGTTGGTAAGACTTCTACAAGACATTCTATTTTTCCATAGAAATGTATTCGTTCAAGAAAGACCCCAAAAGAAATAAAGTAGCGGACATATAAAAAAATTGATTCATCATCTATAACATGTATCAATCTGGTGCTGGGTAATACCTATGATACTATGCAATTTGTGCGACTAGATGTCCATCCAATATGCATGGGATTAGCCGCTTCGATGGGATCTTTTATCCTAGTAGGAGGAGAAGCAACTCTTCCCAAAATCTCACCCAAAAGGAGCTAAGTTGGTATCCCATTCTAACTAAGGATTCTTGTGGTTCTAGAGGATCCAACTATAGGAGAACCAGGAATGGAGGGCTTTGCCGGTGACATGTCATGTGGGCATACCATCATGATGGACAGACGAGTGAAAGACTACGTAGGGAATATGTTCTTTTGTGATGTTGAGAAAAAACTCAATTGTTGATAAAAATGAAGTTCCCATTTCTGATACAGTTGAGACACATCTCAATTTGAAACACTGGTGCATTTTGCTATTGGGTGGCAGCTATTCGGCCTATTCTTCAGTTGTAACAACTATTTGACACTGCACTTCTTTCCCTTTTGGTATTATTTGTGATCTTAGAGATGCTATTTGCATTTTCAGTTGTGCTTGTTGAGGAAATGAAGTCAACTGTTTCTCATATACTAATACCTGAGGAATGACAAGGAATTCAAAGAAAATGCATAATCATTCCAAGCCTCATTCTAGAAATATGTTTTCTTATATTTGACCTTGAAACCAAGTGCTATTTGTCCTGCATAGGGTACATGATGAGTAAACACTGATAAAGAAGTCAGAAAAAAGTGGGAAAAAAGTAGAAGAGCTGATGTCCCAGTATTAGATTTGGAAAATGGGATAATTTCATGCCATAACTATGTTTTCTCTCCATTATCTTGTCTAGCTATTACATGGAGTTTCTCTTATGTTAAGTTACAATGCTTTTGATCTTTTAGAACAATGGAATTACAACACAGCCTAAGGCTGCAGCTTTTGGCCCCACCTTTACAAGAGAAATGCTTGAGAAGCTCTCCTTCAGTGTTTGGAATTGTCCCACAATGGAGAAACAAACTGAGAAGTTCTGCTCTCTCTTCCTTGAAATTGAATAATTTTGGTCCATCAGTGCCAAAATTTTGGAGGTCCCAATTAATGGTATGCACATTTCTCCACTTCTATTCTTATTGTCTGAACGTCACCATTGCCGTTAATCTGTATTACATGTTCATATTCTTCAAGATCCCTGTTTATGACAATGGACTATTGAAACAGGTTCATGGTCTCAGACAAAAGGGATCAAAAGCTTCAAAGCTAGAAGAGTTGCTCAAATTTGGCAATGGAGAGGAAGATGATGGAGATGAATCTGAATCTGATTCTGATGGAGGTCCTAAGAGGGACGATTACTTTCATATGGATGAGGATGAAAGACGGGAATGGAGGAGGAAGATAAGAGATGTCATTAAAATGTCTCCTGATGTTGAGGAAGAGGTAGATCCTGTTGAGAGAAGACAAAAGATGCAAAAGCTTTTGGCTGATTACCCTCTTGTTGTTGATGAGGAAGACCCTGATTGGCCAGAAGATGCTGATGGGCGAGGTTTTAACTTGGATCAATTCTTCAATAAGATCAGTATCAAGAATGTTAAGAAAGATGATGATGAAAATGATGACGACAATGAATTAGTATGGCAAGATGATGATTATATTCGTCCAGTTAAGGACTTAACCACTGCAGAGTGGGAGGAGACTGTCTATAAGGACATCAGTCCTCTTATTGTTCTTGTTCATAATCGCTACAAAAGGTGATCTCGCCACCCCTTTACATCTCTCATTAATGATGTAGCCTTTGACTTAGATATAAAATGCAGTTCTATCAGTTGTTAATTAGGGGTACTCGCTTTCGCTGCTATTTTTGTCATATTTCTGTTTTATTACTTGTCCATGTGCGTGAAAGTTAGAATCTACTTGCTTCTCTGAGAGTCTAGGTTATCTGCTGTCTGCATTTATGTGTCTTGCTTCTAGCCTTCTATTAGACAATCAAATTCTTATACTAAATGGCAGTTTGCATATGCCCATCAACCACTAGGTTTCTTTAGTCTTCTCAGTACTAATATATACCTTTTGGAAATCTCTCCACCGATTCACAATTAAGCCAGGAAAAAGGTCATATGTGCAAAAAACTAAATTTAATTGGTGAGCTCTGTTAAATTTAGAGTGCTCAAACAGTCCTTAAAAGCTTAGCGAAGAATGACACTAAGTTCACTATTTTTTCTGCTTTCGTTCTAATATTTGCTTCATAAATATCAATTATTTTGTGGAAGTGACCTTGTAAAACTTATTTTTTAAGAGTTTTTCCTCCAATTATTGAAAGACTTGGGATTCTAGAAACAACATTTCTTGAAGAGAGCAGCATAACTTGGTTCATAAATGACCATACATTTCTTATGATGGCAAAATTTTTCCTGTATACTTCCTTCTCTTCCTTGAGAATTGAGATCATGTTCATTTGTCAAAAAACAACTCTTTTCCTTTCTTTGAAGGGATTTTCCTATCATAAAAATTGGTTACTGGCTGAGCCTTAAAAACAGAAGCCTAAAGTAAGTTTTTGAGAAAGACGTATACGAAGGGTTGCAGTTATCTTATGAAAGCTGTGTGTTACATGCAGGCCTAAGGAAAATGAAATGGTACGGGATGAATTGGAGAAGGCTATCCACATCATCTGGAATTGCAGGCTACCATCGCCAAGGGTTAGTTAAACCATTCAACTTTAACCAATTATATATTCCAAACACACTATTGATAGTCTTTTTCCCTTTAGTGTGTAGCAATTGATGCTGTTGTTGAAGTTGACTTGGTGTCTGCTTTGAAAGTCTCTGTTTTTCCCGAGCTCATCTTCACTAAAGCAGGGAAAATCTTGTACCGTGAGAAAGGTTATAGTCTATCTAATGAAACACTGCTTTTGACTTGTCTCAAATCCTCATTCTATATCTAACTTTATTCACTGTTATCCTCGAGCAGTGAGCCGAACAGCAGATGAGCTGTCCAAAATGATGGCGTTCTTCTACTATGGAGCTGCCAAGCCACCTTGTCTCAGTGGCATCGAGAATTCTCAAGAACTAATACCTACAGTCTGAGCAAGAAATTATCATGGTAGATGAGTCTTCAGATCTATTTAAACTATGTTTTGATAGCTTCACTGTATTCTGAATTGTCATGAACGTAAAACATATCCTACAGGTGCAACAACGAGCGTTGGCTGTACAATTGGTCACTAAGATGGCACCAGTGCTCTTGATGGTGTTTTACCAGGTGAGAAGATGGGGTTCATTTTGCTCTCTTCAACATTTCAATAGGTGCATTGCTCGTTCCTTCGGTCCTTATGCTAGCACAGCACCCTTATTCAGTATCTATACAGCAAACACTTGTAATTGCAAGCAGCTTCAAGGTTGAAAATAGTAGCTACTGAAATGTCATGCTAGTCTATTGTTTGTTTACGTATAATAGCTACATGGCATCCCATTTGTGTAAATTCCCCCAACTTTTCGAGTACATAACTAGGCTAGGAAGTAAGGGGTTGTTTGGTTGCAGCTCGTTAGAGTAATGTATGGATTAGTTGTGCTGAATTTAATTATTTCATCTTCTACCCTGCATAAAATAATGCCTAGATTGCCTCCTAACTTGTATAGTTCTGCAAGATTTTAAATTGGTAACCAAACAACATATTTGGTGTACTAAATTTTATACATTGCAACTATAATGCTACCAAACATAATACATACTAGTTATATTAGTTTTAATACATGAATAATTCACTTCCAAACCGACAATCAAACGACCCCTATAAGTTGAGTAAAATTTCTATGTGCTGTGGATGTCTAATGTCTTTCATATTAATCAAGACCACTTGTATGTATATATGTTTATCTTTTTCCACTTTAATAAAAGCAGTACTTTTCTGAAATTAAGAAAAAAATATCAAAGCATATCCAATGTGTCGACAAGATATTAGGGCCTTTGAGTACCTAAAAGAATCATATCCATACCAAAAAGTTTGTCTCCAAACTAGACATATATGAAATCAACTTTACAACTAAGATATGTAGTCACTAAATCCATGCCACTAATTTCCATGTGGCAAAGAATCAAATTTATGTATTTAACTTCTATTACTATATTAATAACTAAATCACCAAGAATGATTTAGAACATTGAGACAAAAATTGCTAAGATTCAAGAATCTAAATTTTGCTTCAAATGTTAAGGCATGTTCTCTTCACTCTCATCCTCTTCGAGTTGTTATTAAAGATTGTAAATATTTGTTAGAATTGGACAAAGACGATTTTAAACATATTTGGAAGGAGGCAAACCATTATGCTGATGTTGATTTTCTAGCGAATGAAAACATATAAAAAGAAATTGGTTAATTTATGAAATCTTAACATTTTCCAATGTATCAAGAAAAAAAAAATCAACTACATTTTTGTCAAATCTTAAAAATACCCATTTTTGTTCAAGTCTAAAATTGCATCCATGTGGTTTACCTTTTTATATGTGAACTCAATAGTTCACCCTATCTTAGAACTTAAATACAGATACCATATATTGAAGGTTAGAGAGAAATAATTATTTTTTCCACCGCGTATTAATAGAAAAATTATGTTGTAGAACATAATTTTTTCATTTATTTCCCACCAAATAAGCTCATAGAGAAAATGCTGAACACAATTAATTCTTACTGAAATAGTGAAAAACTTTCTAATTTTTTTCGTATGAAAGTATTATTATTTGTTCACCATTTTAATCAAAATATCGGTGGATATAGGCATATTTAAACATTCTTCAGAGAAAAATTTTAGTTGAAAACTAGTGATTTTCTTAGTAGTGACGTATGTTTTTATGCTTACTGATTTTCCATGATTTCGATAGGATAATAAAGTGAATAAGACGTCCAAACCTTTCTTTTTTTGTCCTTTAAAGTGTTTGGAATATATTTTATTAAATCTATTGGAAGAAGGTTAGTATAGTTGTTATCCAATGTGGAATACTAGACTAGCAATTAGTTATTTAGTAAACTAATACTCCATTGTTTAAGAGATTGTACTTATAAAGCCTTATAAAGTTCCATAGAACCTTTTATTTTGAGATAAAAAATTGCAATTAAGCATGTTCATTTAGTTTACAAAATATGTACAAGATAGATGAAAAATATATATTTTAGGAAAAAGACTCAAATATGTCATCGAACTTTAAGAAAAAGTTTATCTATATCATTTTCGTTTAAAAAAATATTCATCCATACCATTATTTTATTAACTTTATTAAAAATCCCCCCTCCCCCCTAGAAACGTATTTCTTTTAAGTTGACGTGTGTAGCGAAATATATTTCCCTCATTCATACTATATGTGCCATTACAGTTTAATCAATCCTATAATGATGACAAAGGTATAATGATAAGTTAAATAATTAATATAATGGAGTGAATATATACATTTTTATTTAGTAAAATGTTATTGTATATTCACACATTTAATATATATTCATTGATATGTTATAAACATCTGGGATAAATTTTTAGCGACAATAAACATGCATATTAGCAAAGAATGTTAAAGTATTACCGATATTAATTTATAATTGTGATTAGATTCAATGTCTCTATAGGCTTTAACGATATTTATAAGAAATTTTAAAATATAATTATCATTAGTAATTGCCTCTTAAAAACATATTTAACGGCAATTCGAAGTTGTAACATTTGTGCGCTGCACTCTCAACATGTTGAATCAGTACACATTGCCTAGCTTTTATGATGACGTCGCTCAAATGTATTAAGTATATATATTTCAACCAAAGTATTATGGTTCGGGAGAAATGATTTTCTAGCTTTTTTATATGTTATTAAAAGGTTTTATGGCTTTATTACAAGAGATCTTTAATTTTTATATATATACATAAGTGATGTGAAAAAATTATATTTTTTGTTTCAAATTATAGAAGGGCAAGATATCTTGACATATAATGCAATTTACTTGATTAAGTAGACGACTGAAGTTCATGTCAGGTATAACATTATAATGTCTGATTTGATCTTAGGCTCATACAAATTTATCTTTTGGACTACGCTATATTGAGCCTCAAATTAAAGCGCATGAACTATGTGAACTTGAGTTATATGTTATATAAAATTCCTCACTTTTCTCATGTAGAATTTGCCTCAGGTATGATGTGAACCAAATCTTCGAAAATTTATCAATCTAAAAGATCTGTCAATCCTGCCTGATCCACCGTGCAAACCACATCTTCAGGAGACAGCCAGCGTGCAAATTACTGATAAAGATTTGGTTGATTTGCAAATTTATGAGAATTCAAGTACTAATGAGGAAGATATTTTTGTTGAAAAATAGGTGTCATGGGGGTGGAATCAAACATAGCCGACTATTTTCTTCCCCTTTTAAATAGTAGACATATATATATAACTACTCCCTTTCATTTGGTTCCTCGAATCACAAAAGAAGCATTTATGTGAGAAATATAATTAGTGATTTTGAGCGAGTTTTCACTAAGAACCATTGAAATAGCAATAACATATTTAATGTAACTTTTAAAGTGAAATATACGAAGCATATATAATTATAAGCCGATCTTATTATTTTTACTTAATATGCAAAGCATGTAACTATAAGCAGACCTTATTATCTTTACATTTTTAAAGTAAAAAGGATGTTTTCTATTTTCTATAATTCCTCGGCTCTAATAGAGCATTTAAAGCAAATTTGAAAAATAAATATAGTAGTGAAAAAAAAACATATTGCAAATAACATATAAATTAAAAGAACAATACTATAAGGACACTTGTTTAGAATAAGTGATATTATATTGAGCTTTACATATTGTAAAATATGATAGTTAGACATAACTTAATATTAAAAACTAGTCATAAAATGAGAATTGTCCAAGAACGTTTAAAAAGTTCAAATACACACCTTATTATCCTAAACACATATTTTTGAACTTAATTCAATAGGGTTTTTTCATGTAATGCCAAAATGATAGAAGTTAGTGATAAATTAGTGTATCTTGCATTATGATTACATTTTTTACCCAAAAAAATTCAACTTTTGTAAGAGGTTGAACAATTTTATGTCTAGCATTCTTCTATAAAGATAGATAATATTAAAGGTTCTCTACCGTACTATTATCCACAAACAAAGTTAAAGAAAACTTTAGTCGTCATGTTTATTGAGAAATGTCCAATCTTGAAAGAGAATATGTATGTGAACCACACACTTCCTTGTACATTTTTTTAAAATAAAAGGAGATTAGAAGCATAAAAAATATTGACAAGAATTGTATCATCAACAAGAGATAAATTATATTAGGAAAAAAGAAAAAACACTATGGTTTTGAAGAAATATCAACCCTACTTGGCAATGCTTTTTATACAAATATTATATGCAGGCATGGCTTTGTTCTCTAAAGCTTCTATCTCCAATGGCATGAACCCTTACGTATTTGTTGTTTATCGACAAGCATTTGCAACCCTATCCTTGGCTCCCTTCGCGATTTTCCTCGAAAGGTCTTCAAATTTTCATATTCTATATGTATATATATATATAGCTAATTTATATATATATACACATTTGAATCTTAGGCTAATATGTTTGTTATGTTCTTTGATTTGCAGTAGCAAGACAACTTCTCTTTCATTCACCTTACTAGTGAAGATATTCTTTATATCCTTATTTGGGTATGGATCGATCCCTTTTCTAATTGTTTATATATATACATGCATGATGAGGTATAAATATGAAGTAAAATGTAGAGCCGTCAATATGGGTTAGGCCCGTTGGGCCGGCCTGGCCTGGCCTAACCCGTGATTTGATAGGGTTGAGCTACGATTTTTGGAGCCCATTTAAAAAAAAGGGCTTTTTAGCCCGGCCTGAATAAGCTTGCCGATTTGTGGGCTTGACAAATATAGATAGGGCCGGTCCGTGGGCCAAATAAAAATTAATTAAAAAGTAAAATAGAGTATTAAAAATAGGGGAACTTTCACATATAGCCACTCAAAAATAGCTTAATTACTCTCCATAGCTATAGTTTGATAATTACAATTCGTAGCTACATGTTATAGAGAAGAGAGAGGCGAGCGAGACTGGGAGAGAGAGGAGAGAGG